CAACACTTCAGTTTTGGGCTTTTTTTTTTTTTTTTTTTTTTTTTTTCTTTCTCTTAGTTAAAAGACATGGTTCCTGTAGGTGGTGCAAGTAGAAATCCCCTTCCTTTCCTTGAGCCCCCCATCATCAGCTGCATCCCTTTTCTTCTCCAGTTCCAGGATCTTTTTGAAGAGTTTTTCTCTGCTGCTTCTTTCTTTTAGCTCACCAGAACAGAAAATTTCCAAAACACGAAATGTTTGGCAGGTTTCTTCAGACTGCTTTCTGCAAAGGCTCCTACCTGGAGCAATCTTGTCCCTCTAGTGATGAGGAGGGTCACCACATTTCTGGAGGTGGACGGGGTAGCAGCTGCCATGGGAGGGAGGGAGCACACCAACCGGTGCGAGACAAGAGCCGTCACAGTGGTTTGGGCTGTCATTCCCATCTGGGATGGTGTGGCACGGTGGCACCTTTCTGAGCACCTGTTGTGTAGTAGTGGACATGAGCTGTGAGGGATGGGTGCTAGCACCTTGTACGACTCTGCTTTTGCTTTTCTTCCTTGTTAAGGACTGCAACGCTTCGTGTCATACCATTCTTCTACAGAAAACAACTTCTCTAAAGAAATACTTGCTGTTACTAGCAAGAGTGGAGCAATACCTGTGTTGCCTAGGGGTTTTCTCGCTGGGCAGGGTGGACGTCTGGAAGCACAGAGATGCAGATGACTTCTGTATTTTCACAGTGCTTGGGACTGGCTCCATCTGTGACGCAGATGGTGACTGTGTTCTTCAAAAGGATGAGCTGAATGAAAGCAGATGCTCCTTGAAGGCTTGCCAGATTTAACCCCCTAGCAAATCCATCATTTGGTTCCTTCTCCTTTGCAAAGAGACATCAGAGGGGCAGGCCAAGACAGTAGGTGAAGAGGGAGAAGATGACTGACATCAGCAGGGAGGTGTGATTTAGTGAGTCAGCCATATGCAAATGTAATTTTAAGTTACACTATTGTACTAAAACCTCTAGAGGCTTGATGGGCCCAAGAGTTAGATCCAAGAGCAGAGTGGAAAGCATTTAACAAAGCACTGATCAGGCAGTGGGAGGAGAAGCGGGTGCAGTGTAGGACATCTTCAAAGGAAAATGAAATTTGAAGAAAGAGGCAATTGACAATGCTAATGACACCAGACCAACAGGAGCAAAAGCTGTCCTGAGACTTGGCTGGAGTCATTGGTAGAAGCCCGTAATGAGGAAACTGTGTTTTGGATTTTTTAAACTATGAAATGTTTTTAGTGTTTAATCTTTTCCTTTATTCCCCCTGCCCATGCTGTTGCTTCAGAAGAATGTCGATGTGGCTCAGAAGAATTGCCTCCCACTTGTCATATGCATTTTGCGTTGCATCAAACAAAGGAAGGCACTGCCAGTGCATTTGCTGGGTCTTGCTAGTAGCACACCCACATTTTTTTTCTCCTAAAAGAGTTGATTGCCCAAACACTTACACTTTTGTAGATGAAGAATTCAACCAAGGAGGAAATATGCTAATAATTCTCTAAGCTGCTAATAACTGCAGTTTACTAAAGTGCAGCAGCATTGTAAAAATGACACAAATTACCTCGTTGCGTCCTGACTTAAACAGAAATGAATGCACATTCAGAGACTGCGTAAATGTAACAGTAACTTCTGGAAAATCTGTGTCTAGATGAGCAGTGTATGGGAATCACTGTGAATGCTGTATTGCTGACTACAATTAGGATTGAATGCAGCCCTTTTCACATTTACAGGCCTTTGTAACGGTGCAGGCTTTGAAAAGCCTCCTCCCAGTAGGCAGCAAATACAAAGCTGTTGGTACATACTTACCACCGAGGAGCAAAAGCAACCCCCTGGCAGGCTCCCCTCCTTCTGCCAAACAGCTGAGGTAGGGGGGCTGTGTGCATCCCACCACCCTCCTCCTCCAAGTCTCCTCCCACCCATGTTGTCATCATCCCAATGTGTGCCATTTTCGCAGACCCAGCTAGTTATCCTGGTCAGGCTCTGTGGCCTGGACTGTCTTGAAAAGCTTTATTTTGTCAAGTCTTTCCACCCTTATGATCTTCTCAGTTAGGTAATTCATCAGTAAATTGAATTCTGCTCCTCACGGGAGTGTCTGGAGCATACTCTCATTGCCATGACCTCACAAAATTGTCCCAGGTTCTGCCAGAATGTGTTGAGGGAAAAACGGGGTGTTTTAATTGTATTTTTTTCCTCCTCTATCATTCCTCCCTGGCTTCTCTGCCCTGCTGGGAGCCCTCCTCCTTGCTTAGGCACTAATCCCCAGCAAAGAAAGTCTCCCTCCCATAAGTAGCAATATTTCCTTCTAGGTTTTACTGCATAATTGTCTCTCTTACTACATAGTTACATGTGCCACACTAATTGCACAGATACATGAACTTAAAGAATTATGTCCTAAATGCATGCCTTGATTAGACAGTTACATGTATATGCCTTAATTGTGAGCTATGGATTGCAGCTACGATGAGAGGATGAGCTCTTACTCATTAAGAAATTGGTAAAATACTGCGGCTGTGGTTCTGTTCCCTAACTTGAATGCCCAAACATGGTATGATCTGAAACGGTTCATACGTTAAAGCAGTGATGGAAGTAGACGTGCTTTAGTGAATGCGGTCTCTGGGACAACTGGGGGCATATTCCCAGCTGCATGGCATGGAGGTACTGGAAGCACAGGACTCTGGTTTGGCTTTGCAGGGAGATGGCTTTCAGTGGCTGGGTTGCACAGCTTTGTTACCTGATTTTCTGTGTCTGTTGAAGATGTGTTCTTGCAGCTACAGAGGACATGTAGTTAGCTACCAATGTTACTAGTGGCTTTGGTCTGTCTGATTAGAAGCAAGTGTTAGCAGGAGCATGATGGCATACTTGTGGTTTGTGTGAAAGGGGACAGCAGCTGTCCTGCACTGATGCTTATGTCCCTTTGCACAGACTGCTCCAGATAGCAACATCCCCCATTTTGCACCAGCAATTCAGGCAGGGGAGATTTAAACTCAAATATCAGAAAGGAATTGCAGTCTTAGTAGTCCTGTCACCTGAGTACCCATTGTGTCATGATACCTGGAGCTCTGCAGGCAAATCAAGAGCAATTCTTGCCCTTTCAGGTTAAAAGAAAG